TCTCTCTCTCTCTCTCTCTCTCTCTCTCTCTCTCTCGCTATACCTATCAATACCTGTATTGTGAATGAAATAACAGGTAAGTCGTTGTAATAGCAATAAGGGGTGTATATGTGGTGGTTGTGGGGGCCGTGCGATGTGTGTGTATATAATGCGTGCGAATAAACTAATAATTCAAATGCTTGCAAAAGTGTTGATACACCCAAAAAGTTATGTCACTTTTAACGCCGGACTATAACTCATGCGAGCGATGGCACAGTGGGATACCTGAGCCCAAAAACCAGCAGCTCATCAACAAAAATACATATATTTTTACTGTAAATATCACTTGTCTTACAATCATATACAGTACAGTACAATACACAGCACACATATACGGGGGGCTCGTATTGGGCTGCACTGGGAGGACGTGTGCCCTCCGTATAGCCGACACACCACTGCATATTTGCCACACATTTATATTTCCATAAAATTACAGAATATATTTCAATGAGATATAAAATTTATATATATTTTATTCTTATCCCATGAAAGAGCCCATCGAAAAGGCAGAGATGTATTTTTTTCGGCAAACATTTCGCTATTTCTTATGTTTTATTGTTATTATTATCAGTTGTATTTAAAATGCGAATAATTTCCACTGAATTAACATTTATTTAGCAAATTTTTAACTGAATTTCTATTTTTATTTTTTGCCTCTCTCTCTCTCTCTCTCTCTCTCTCTCTCCCTCTCTCTCCTCTTATTTTCATTGCCAACGCGAGAGAGAGAGAGAGAGAGAGAGATTCAAACAATAAAACATAAGAAATAGCGAAATGTTTGCCGAAAAAAATACATCTCTGCCTTGTGTTTGATGTAATGCTTTACGGAATGGATTGCAATAAATATTATGTGTTTTTATAAAAATATTATTTATTCCACTCATTCCTGTTATGTTAAACACATTTTTAAGTCCCTTTATTTCGCTGGGATTTTGTATTTTACTTTTCTTTCCTATTTTTGTAAAACATATTTTATTCTTCTTATTCTTCTTCTTTCTATTCAACACTAATTTATAATCACTGGACGCGTGTATTCACAGAATCCACTAATTTCTTGTTTTGCCATTCATTTCATTGATGGCATGTCTTTGCGTACACTTCTAACCAGAAGCTCAACAACAAAAAAGTTATCACAAGATATATATCTATCTGTGTTTAACAAGAAGAAGAAGATTACGGACAAGAAGTACTCAACAAAGTGTTTAAAACTCCCAATCAGTGCTGTCTTAGCCCTCAATTTTATGGGCTAACTATCGATTGAGAGTTTTTAGATTTGACTTTTTCTCTCTCCCAATATCTTATTTTTATGTAACTTTAATTCACGTATTAATACATCGATTAGTCGTGAGCTCAGGTGGGCTTCTGATCGGCGGTACACACAGAAAAAAATCGGTTGTATTTTGTTTTGCAATTTCGCAAAAAGTATTATCATTTCCGTCATATTTGCCACTATTAATGATTGGGAGCCCAGCGTATGGGTCGCGCCCGACGATTGCCACTCCGTTAAGTGCTATCGATTTATACGCTGAAAACAACTCTCGACACTAACTAACAAAACAACAGTAAAACCCGTGCTTTCAATAACTTTTTTGATTACCTTTTGCTAACGAGGAGTCGACTTATACGGTAATTATCGTCACGATTATGGCGTTTAAGCCCCTGAATAAGCTGTTCCGGCCGTGGCTTTCGGCCTGCGATCAGTCCATTGGAAACTATTCTGTCAACTCTTTCTATAAATGCCTGGACGTGACCGCAAACGACTACCGGTGCAACTCCTCCATGCCTTACATGAATTATTGTCACTCAATGTTGGCCTCCAAACAGTGTTTTGACTGTCTGTCCGATTGCGTGAATCTTAACACAAATCACACAAATGTTAATATATTTGCCAAACAAAGAAGTCGTGTGTTGTCACCAATCCGTCAAACCATCGCTGAGTGCTCTTCCGTCCCAAACAGTGTCACAACTGGTGTGACAGCAGACAGAAGTGGCTCTCAAATGAGTGGTTATGATAAGAATTGCATTAATTTTCATAATAATGATAATAATGTGAACAAAATGTGGTTATCGCGGATCAAACGGCAAAGACCTAAACGCTTTCACTGTCCGCACTGTCACATAGCGTTCAGCAATAATGGTCAGCTCAAGGGTCACATCCGTACCCATACAGGTATTTATAGCTATATTTCTATGTATTTCTTGAAATATTCTTTCAGTAAACTTTTTATGAAAACTTTTTCCCTCTCGTTATTATTGTTGGCCTAAAATATTTGCCAAATTATCTACTATTTATTGATTTAGTATTTATGGTAAAAACTTTATTTTATAAATATATCATGTGCTGATTGAATACGTCTTGATTATTATGTCAATGTCAACTCACGCACGATATAAGCGAGATATAAATACCCATGATTAATTAGCCATTGCATGATTAAAAGCTAATGATAAGAGCTATGCATTTATTATTGTTATGTAACATAACTTATGTTAAATATTATGCAAAATGTAATCCAATGTTACCATGTTTTCAGGGGAGCGTCCCTTCGTGTGCGACCAGAGAGAGTGCGGCAAATCTTTCACCCGTAACGAAGAGCTCACTCGTCACCGGCGTATTCACACCGGTGTCCGACCCTATTGTTGCAATGTATGCACCAAACGGTTTGGCCGTAAGGATCATCTCAAGAAACACCAGCGAACCCACGAGAAACGCTTCTATAGCCTGCCATCAAATGGTCTGTCTGTCGACCCGACGGCTCCCCTCCAGCCCTCATCCCTTCCCCGCTCCTCATCTCAAAGTATATCTGCTTTTTATAACTCAATGTATTTGCAGATCAGACATCATTTTTAGCCCCCAATGACATACAGCCTATGATTTATTGATAATGTCTTACATTTTTTTTGGTAAAAAAGCTTCTGAAAAAAATCAGGACTTTTTATATAAACAATATTTTCTGTGCTAAACATTTAACTGTATTAATACATTTGCAATCATTTTTCTCCTAAAACACTGTTTTGTTTTAAAACAAACTATTTATACGATTATATATTTTTATCCACATTTTCTATGTTTTTCTATTGCCATTAAAATAATAAGCTTTTGAATAAAATACACGCGAAATATGTTTGGAAAAGTTTTGTTTTATTTTCATTTTTTCTGCTGACAATAATTGCCATCTTTTTAAGGAAATAGAGAAAAACTTCTGGCGTTTGGTTTTGTTGGAAAAGAATATATTATTTTTGACAAATATATCCTATTTTTGGTGATATAATTATGACATAATAAATGCAAAATACGTTTAAAATACTCTTTGCTCTTGAGCTCCAATTCTTGTCATAACATTGATCTCTCTCTCTCTCTCTCTCTCTCTCCCTCTCTCTCTCTCTCTCGACTCCCGAAAAATTTGAGAGAAAGTGTGGCACATCTTAACACACTGTCCCCTTTAGCACATGTATGTCTATTAGGCTGACTGTGTGTTGGAATATGTGTCTCAAAAACAGTGATCTAATCGAGGTTTTGGGATCAATCGATTCCTAATATCATAACAAATATTATTTTTTGCTAGAAATTCATTAACAGTTTTACTCTAAAAAATCTGCTGAAGAATTAGGAAAATATTGTTTTAATTGCAAATATTCTGTTGTTTTGAATTTTGAGTTTGAAATGCATTTTACACTCAAAATTGTGACAATTATTGTCAGTTTTCTCATTGTATTCAATGAGACAACAGTTGTGTTGAAGAGGAGACGCGTGTTTTACCGGCCGTCGACAGCGCGCGTCCGACGGGTGCCGCCGGCGGCCAACCGGACAGCCGAGGGAGCCGTCAAACTGGTGGGCGGACAGGGGGTCTGGGAGGGCAATGTGGAGATCTACCATATGGGTCGGTGGGGCTCCGTATGCGACGATGAGTGGGACTTAGTGGACGCCCATGTGGTCTGTCGGTCGTTGGGCTACACCGCCGGCGCTCTGATGGCCACTAATAACGCACAGTTTGGCCGCACAAGAAGTAAGTGTGACTTTTTTAAGTGAAAATTTTGTATTAACTTTTGTTTTATTTATTCACTCATAAAATGGAAAGTGATTTGAATTTAAATTTCTATTTTTCTGCGAAAAACAATTATTTATATTAAGTTTTAAATGAAATTTTTATGTAAAAGAAAGGAAACGATTTAATTATTTGTGATATTTATGAGGAGTTTTTTGTTTTACAAGTAATTTATACGCGAATTGAGTTAAGGAATGAAATAGTAGTTGAAATGAGAAACAACAACAAAAAATTGCTATTTTGCGAGTGATATCTAAAAAAACAATAAAAGTGTGCATGATAATTATTTGTTTAAATGTACCCAGAGCTTATTTGGATGGATAACGTGTATTGCAATGGAGATGAGCGAGCGTTGGCTGACTGTCGGTTTGACGGCTGGAAAATACACGACTGCACTACTAATGAAGCGGCGGGTGTCGTATGTAAGACAAGAAACGGCACCACCGCTAGCGATACCACCGGTCCTGTCAGTCATCGTGGCATCGCTGCCAGCCCTGGCCTCACAGATCGCACCAACGCTACCAACACTACTGCCAACACCAACAGCACCGGTAGTCGTAGTGGTAGGAGAAGTACTGGTAGTACTGGCGCTGGTGTTGGGGCCCAACTAATCAATGACGCGCCCCACACGACAGGCCCACCGCTCGCCACCACTTTCAGCACTAAAATACGAGTAATTCTGTCATTTATTTTCATTCAATTCATTCATAAGTTAGTAATAAGTTATACGCGATAAATGAAATGCACATTACATTACACGGAATATATTATACAATACCCTAACCCTCGACTCCCAGACATAACATTGAGAGTTAACATATTCAACGAAAAATGCTTGCCTTACTTTAAACCTCAAGTAAATGTAATTTATTTCGATATTTATTTCATTTTCGGTGAACAAGAAAAACAAAATCCAATAACGAAAAAATTTAGCAAATTTTCTGTGCTTTTAAACAAAATTTATTTGAATTTTAGTCTTATTTTGAGCCAAAGAGCGAAAGAATAAACAACAAAAAAACAAGAATTATTAAAACAACTTATTTTTTGTTTCAAATCTCTCGACAAAATCATTAGAAACAGTGGAGTGAAGACATAAATATCCGTTTGATTGGCGGTCGCAACAAATGGGAGGGCAGAGTGGAGGTGAGAGTCGATGGCGAGTGGCATCAGGTATGCGGTGATGGATGGAGTCTATTGGAGGCGATGGTTGTCTGTCGGCAATTAGGTCTGGGCTATGCGGCACACGCTGTGCAGACCTCTGTGTTTGGCGGCAATAACTTATCGCTGGCGCTGACGGGCGTCCGCTGTAAGGGCTTTGAGGCCACTCTCGGCAACTGTGAGGCCAACGCCTTGGGCTCTGTCCACAGCTGTCCCACCGGTCATCAGAATATCGCCGGCGCTATCTGTACATCAGGTACAGTATGTGTGCTATACTGTATGTCTGTGTGTATGTGCTATACATGTGCTATAAATTATAGCCTATAATTATACGTTACGCTATCGAGGGGTTCGTTGCTATTGTATAATATCAATGGCTAATGAATTAATCATAAGGAATTGGATTAGCATTTATAATAACAGTCGACTATAGGACCTCTCTTTCATCTATAGCTTTTGCTATACTGTTGAGCCATTTATACCGATTTAAGTGTCTATCAAATCAGTTTTGGTGGTCCACCGGTTAGTGCCTCCGCTATAGTGTTAAGCATTGGGTTTAGTATTTTTATATAACTTTTTGATTGTTAATTTTATTTGCATTTTAAGCGTTTTCCTTTCAAATGAAAGTATTTTATTTTAATTAAAAAAGTGGTGAATAAAGGAGTGGTTGAGAGAAAAGAGCGAAAAGAGTTGTATTTCTATTTATTTTAAAATACATTTTACAAGTTTAAGTTGAAAAAAGTCTTATGAATCAAAAGGACTAATAAATTTTACACACATTTTAATTTGTTAAATAAGTTTTGCATACATTTTACGCAGATATTTGCATATCATTAAAATACTAACTGAATTGTGATTAAATTGTTAAATTTTTATACATCTTAACTCAGACTCTTGGGGGGCAATCAATTCAAAGTGATTAATTAGCATAGGTTTGAATGACACAACTATTTAAAGCCATGATATATGATATGTTGCAACAGAACTGCCAGATCTGGTGCCCGACGAGAAAGAGATCGAGTCGTCGGCCTATTTGGAGGACCGGATGCTTATGCTATTGCAGTGCGCGATGGAGGAGAACTGTTTGGCCAGCAGTGCCTACAATATCAGTCGACAACAATATGGTAAAAGCAAATACATATAGCAATTTGTTGGCCAAAACAATATGGTCTAATAATACTGTATATGAATTACTCGACTCGGAAAGGGTGGCAGTTTGAACAGCGAAGGCTATTGAGATTTACGGCCCGGATTGCCAACATCGGTACGGCCGACTTCAGGCCATTCCTGCCCAAACACATCTGGGACTGGCACGCCTGCCATCGCCACTATCACAGTATGGAAGTGTTCGCACACTTCGACATATTGGACAGTCGGGGCAAACGTGTGGCCGAAGGACATAAGGCCAGCTTCTGTCTGGAGGACAACAACTGCAAAGACAACAGCACCAGAAAGTATGCCTGCGCTAACTATGGCGATCAGGGTATTAGTGTGGGCTGTGGTTAGTATCTGTAATATAGACAGTGTTTTATGAGTGTATTTTTATAACATTGTTTTTGATTAATCTCTTTACACAAAAAATTAAAACTGAAAAATCGGTCTCAAAACCCCACAAACAGCGGACACCTATTTTTATAACATAGACTGCCAGTGGATTGACATCACAGATATATCTCCCGGTATTTATCAGCTAAAGGTAAGGCACGAGAGAGAGAGAGAGAGAGAGAGAGAGAGAGAGA